GTCATTTTTTCACGAATTTTCCAGCATGTCTGCTAAAAGAAATGGGGAGGAACCACGAAAGTCGGCCGGTGCCATCGCCCTGCTAACAGAGCGAAAATCGTTTTCCGATTATTCTTGGATCCGATTTTCGAACGAAAAATCGTTCGGAAATCAACTCATGTATGGCCGGCCTAACAAATAACAGCAGCTGAGAGAGATCAGGGAAATCCTAAATAGATGACCCGCTGGGGGCAGCATCGTGACTAATCGTGGAAAGATGCAGCCAATCAGATCGCACCTTCCTCTTTCGCCTGTCGTGACAATATTAAATGTGGAATTTTATTGGTTGCTGTGGAAGTTGGCTCCGCCTTCTGCTCTGGTGTGACGTAAGATGGGGACCACCTGCTGAAGAACTACAAGCCCCAGCATGGAATCTGCACCTCCCCACAATATCATCCAGGAAATGCGTTCTCATCGAACGTCTCTTATTCCTAAAGAAATGATCCCGAATATCGAAACATAAAATCGTTCAATACCTGAGACACCGCGATGAGCGGAGAACGATCAACGGATTTCCATCCAATCGCCTGCCGCGGCTTCTCCAACCAGCGATTGACACGATACGGGTGATTGGTCTGAATAAAATCTCATTTGCTTCTCGTTTTTGTTTTCTGGCCATTTCCCATGTCGGAGGTTATCCTGCTGCTGTCTCCATTATTACGCCTGCTGTGGCTTTATTCCGCCAAATTTGTCCATCGACCAATCGGGAATGTGCGTTTTTGTTCGGTAGAAGTATTCGCTGTCACAGAAAATGTTTCAGGAAAATATCCGTCCCGAATGTATTACTAAAACCACAAGACAACCGGTCCTAATATACTTACATTCATTATTTATATACATTTTATTTACATTTATTTTGTTTATGTTATTTGCTTTTTATTGACATGAATTATTGACTTTTTTTTATTTTTATATTGTTTACTTTTTATTTACAATTTTTTTTATATTGTTTCCTTTTTATTGACATGAATAATTTTATTTTTTATTTATATATTGTTTACTTTTTATTTACATTTATTTTGTTATGTTATTTGCTTTTTATTGACATGAATTGTTTACTTTTTTTTATTTATATATTGTTTACTTTTTATTTACATTTATATTGTTTATTATTTCCTTTTTATTGACATGAATTGTTTATTTTTTTTTTTTTTATTATATACTGTTTACTTTTTATTTACGATTTTTTTTTTTTATATTGTTTCCTTTTTATTGACATGAATAATTTTCTTTTTTTATTTATATATTGTTTATTTTTATTTACATATATTGTTTACTATTTCCTTTTTATTGACATGATTTATTTTTTTTTTTATTCATATATCACTTTTTATTTAAATTTTTTTTAATATTGCTTTTTATTGACATGAATTTTTACTTTTTTTTTATTTATATATTGTTTACTTTTTATTTACATTTATATTGTTTACTATTTCCTTTTTATTGACATGAATTGTTTATTTTTTTTTTATTCATATACTGTTTACTTTTTATTTACATTTTTTTTAATATTGTTTCCTTTTTTTGACATGAATAATTTTCTTTTTTATTTATATATTTTTTACTTTTTATTTACATTTATTTTGTTTATATTATTTGCTATTTATTGACATAATTGTTTACTTTTTTTTTATTTATATATTGTTTACTTTTTATATTACATTTATATTGTTTATTATTTCCTTTTTATTGACATGAATTGTTTATTTTTTTTTTTTTTATATATACTGTTTACTTTTTATTTACATTTTTTTTATATTGTTTCCTTTTTATTGACATGAATAATTTTCTTTTTTATTTATATATTGTTTACTTTTTATTTGCATTTATTTTGTTTATGTTAATTGCTTTTTATTGACATGAATTGTTTACTTTTTTTATTTATATACTGTTTACTTTTTATTTACATTTTTTTTTATATTGTTTCCTTTTTATTGACATGAATAATTTTCTTTTTTATTTATATATTGTTTACTTTTTATTTGCATTTATTTTGTTTATGTTATTTGCTTTTTATTGACATAAATTGTTGACTTTTTTTTATTTTATATATTGTTTACTTTTTATTTACATTTATATTGTTTATATTATTTGCTTTTTATTGACATGAATTGTTTACTTTTTTTTATTTATATATTGTTTACTTTTTATTTACATTTAGGGCGGGTTCACACTACTTGCCTTCCAGTTATGGTTGCCACACACACCCCTTTTAGCCCGAACACATACTAATGACATGGGATCTGTGGCTGATGAAGGTGGTAATTAAATTCCCCTAGTGCCTCATCTGCATTAAATCAGCCTCAGAACCCGCGTCATAAATATGCGTTCGGATTTAAAGGGATGAGGTGGCAGCTGTAGTTCCAGTGCGTTTTTTTTTGTCTGCATTCAAAACACACAGAAAGTAGGTTTTTATTTACGTTTATTTTTTTTACTAATATTTATTATTTTCTTTCCTTTTTTCTTTTTTTATTGAACACATTCGGGGTACAGAGAGGAATCGGGGAGGGCAATAAAAATGTAACATTATTATTTTGTTTATTTACATGTATTTTTTAATAATATTATTTATTCTATTTCCCTTTTTATTGAACATTTTTGGGGTACAGAGAGAAATCCAGGAGGGAAATAAAAATGTAACATTATTGTTTGTTTATTTACATGTATTCTGTTTGCTTTTTATTCAGGTTTATTTTTATTTACATGTATTTTTCTACTAATATTTATTTTATTTCCCTTTTTACTGAACATTTTTGGGGTACAGAGAGGAATCCAGGAAGGCAATAAAAATGTCACATTATTATTTTGTTTATTTACATGTATTCTGTTTGCATTTTTTTATTCACATTTTTTCTTTCTATTTACATTTATTACTGTTTTTTTTATTCACATTTTTCTTTCTATTTACATTTATTTTTTACTAATATTATTTATTTTATTATTTCCTCTTTTTTTATCGAATAATTTTGTGGTACACAGAGAAATCAGGAGTGCAATAAAAAATGTAACAATTTTATTTGTTTATTTACATATATTCTCTTTGCTCTTTTATTATTTTTTTTATAGAACACATTTGGGGTACAGAGAGGAATTGGGAGGGCAATAAAAATGTAACATTATTATTCTGTTTGCTTTTTTTGTTTATTTACATGTATTCTGTTTGCTTTTTATTCACGTTTATTTTTTTATTTACATGTATATTTTTTACTAATATTTATTTTATTTCCCTTTTAACTGAACATTTTTGGGGTACAGAGAGGAATCCAGGAGGGCAATAAAAATGTCACATTATTATTTTGTTTATTTACATGTATTCTGTTTGTTTTTTATTCACATTTTTCTTTCTATTTACATGTATTTTTTACTAATATTTATTTGTTTTATTATTTCCTCCTCTTTTTTTTATCGAACACTTTTGTGGTACACACAGAGAAATCAGGAGGGCAATAAAAATGTAACAATTTTATTTGTTTTTTTACATATATTCTCTTTGCTCTTTTATTATTTTTTTTTATAGAACACATTTGGGGTACAGAGAGGAATCCAGGAGGGAAATAAAAATGTAACATTATTGTTTGTTTATTTACATGTATTCTGTTTGCTTTTTATTCATGTTTATTTTTATTCACATGTATTTTTTTACTAATGTTTATTTTATTTCCCTTTTTACTGAACATTTTTGGGGTATAGAGAGGAATCCAGGAGGGCAATAAAAATTTAACAATATTATTTTGTTTATTATTATTATTTTGTTTATTTACATGTATTCTGTTTGCTTTTATTTACATATATTTTTTAATAATATTATTTATTTTATTTCCCTTTTTATTGAACATTTTTGGGGTATAGAGAGGAATCCAGGAGGGCAATAAAAATGTAACATTTTTGTTAATTTTATTTCCTCTTTTTCCTATTGAACACTTTTGTGGTACACAGAGATATTAGGAGGGCAATAAAAATGTCACATTATTATTTTGTTTATTTACATGTATTCTATTTGCTTTTTATTCACATTTATTTTTATTTACATATATTTTTTACTAATCTTATTTATTTTATTATTTCCAACGAACACTTTTATGGTACACAGAGAAATCAGGAGGGCAATAAAAATGTAACGATTTTATTTGTTTAATTACATTTATTCTGTTTGCTTTTTCTTTCTTTTTTCTCCATAGAACACATTCGGGGTGCAGAGAGGAATCGGGGAGAGCAATACAGATGTAACATTATTATTTTGTTTATTTACATGTCTTCTGTTTGCTTTTTATTCAGGTTTATTTTTATTCAAATGTATTTTTTACTAATATTATTTATTTTATTTCCCTTTTTACTGAACATTTTTGGGGTACAGGGAGGAATCTGGAGGGTAATAACGATGTAACGATTTCAATCTGTTAAAAGCCACAAATAAAATCTGCTACAATGTTTCCGGTTTCATCGGTTGGGAGATTTAAAGGGAAACGTTTGCTATAAATGCGTTGAATGTGCGGCGCTCCTCCTCCTCTTCGCTCACAATCGGAGGGTTGAGGACGAGGAGGCAGCAGCATTGTGTGTGACATCCTCCCAGGGATACAATTGGGGAAGCCTGATGAGCGGTGACCTTTCCCCCACATGTGATGATCCTGCACCCTCCCCTGGGCCATGGAGGTGTGAGCTGTGACGAGGACAGAGATTGGTCGGGGACCGGCGAGGAGGGACCGTCCGGGGTACAGATTGGTGTGTGAGAGGCGACAGGCTGCATGGCTGACCTCCCAGGAAACAGCTGAAGGGCTCCAAAACATCCGAGCTGAAGACAAACTTTCCTCCTGTGCTGGCGAGAGAGGAGCGGGCGATGGAGCCACGCCGGGACTGCGATCGGCCAATGTGGAGCGATTGTATCGCCACGTATCCCCTGTGACCTGCTCTCCCGTGGGTGGAACCTCGTCCCTCGCTGCAGTCCTTTATGTTCGGGGCTTTATGAAACCTTTCAGAACCATGACCACCCCCCCCCCCCGCCGCCACCGACCATCTCCATCTCCCCGCCGGTGGATTTCGTGTTGGGGGCCTCGGCGTGCTGCATGGCGTGTGTTTTCACCAATCCCCTGGAAGTGGTGAAGACGCGACTGCAGCTGCAAGGAGAGCTGCGGTCTCGGGGGGACGTACACGCGGCACTACCGGGGGGTGGTGCAGGCCATGGTGGCGGTGTGTCAGGCGGAGGGGCTGCGGGGACTGCAGAAGGGACTGACGGCTGGACTGCTGTACCAAGGAATGATGAACGGAGTCCGCTTCTACCTGTACTCCCACGCCGAGGACATGGGGCTGACGCAGCAACCCGGGGGCAACGTGGCAGCAGGGGCAATCGCTGGAGCACTCGGAGCGTTTGTCGGGGAGTCCGGCATATCTGGTAAGACCCCCCCCCATGCCCCCTTTACACAGTCTCCCCCCCCCTCCGCATGTCCTCTATACTGCCCCCTATACATCTATACTGCCCCCCTATATATACTGACCCACCCCACATGTCCTCTATACTGCTCCCCTATACACACTGACCTCACCCCACGTATCCCCTATACTGCCCCCCTATACACACTGACCCAACGTGTCCCCTATATACTGGCTGTCCCCCTACTGCCCCCCTATACACACTGACCCACCCCACGTGTCCCCTATACTGCTCCCCTATACACACTGACCCACCCCACGTGTCCTCTATACTGCTCCCCTATACACACTGACTCACCCCACGTATCCCCTATACTGCCCCCCTATACACACTGACCACCCCACGTGTCCCCTATACTGCTCCCCTATACACACTGACCCACCCCACGTGTCCCCTATACTGCTCCCCTATACACACTGACCCACCCCACGTGTCCCCCATACTGCCCCCCTATACACACTGACCCCCCCCCACGTGTCCCCTATACTGCTGCCCCTATACACACTGACCCACCCCACGTGTCCCCATACTGCCCCCCTATACACACTGACTCACCTCACGTATCCCCTATACTGCCCCCCTATACACACTGACCCACCCCACGTGTCCCCTACACTGCTCCCCTATACACACTGACCCACCCCACGTGTCCCCTATACTGCCCCCCTTACTGACACACTGACTCACCTCACACTGACCCCCCCACGTGTCCCCTATACTGCCCCCTATACACACTGACCCACCCCACGTGTCCCCTATACTGCTCCCCTATACACACTGACCCACCCCACGTGTCCCCTATACTGCTCCCCTATACACACTGACCCACCCCACGTGTCCCCTATACTGCCCCTATACACACTGACCACCCCCACGTGTCCCCTATACTGCCCCCTATACACACTGACCCCCCCCCCACGTGTCCCCTATACTGCCCCCTATACACACTGACCCCCCCCACGTGTCCCCTACACTGCCCCCTATACACACTGACCCACCCCACGTGTCCCCTATACTGCTCTCCTATACACACTGACCCACCCCACGTGTCCCCTATACTGCTCCCCTATACACACTGACCCACCCCACGTGTCCCCTATACTGCTCCCCTATACACACTGACCCACCCCACGTGTCCCCTATAACTGCCTCTATAATAATACTGCTCCCCCTATACACACACTGACCCCCCCATACTGTCCCCCCCTATACACACTGACCCCCCCCCCCCCACGTGTCCCCTACACTGCCCCCCTATACACACTGACCCACCCCACGTGTCCCCTATACTGCTCCCCTATACACACTGACCCACCCCACATGTCCCCTATACTGCTCCCCTATACACAGTAACCCCACCCCACGTGTCCCCTATACTGCCCCCTATACACACTGACCCACCCCACGTGTCCCTTATACTGCCCCCTATACACACTGACCCACCCCACGTGTCCCCTATACTGCTCCCCTATATACACACTGACCCACCCCACGTGTCCCCCCCTATACTGCCCCCCCCCTATACACACACTGACCCACCCCACGTGTCCCCTATACTGCTCCGCTATACACACTGACCCACCCCACGTGTCCCCTATACTGCTCCCCTATACACACTGACCCACCCCACGTGTCCCCTATACTGCTCCCCTATACACACTGACACCTGACCCCACGTGTCCCCTATACTGCTCCCATATACCACGTGTCCCCTATACTGCCCCCATATACACACTGACCCACCCCACGTGTCCCCTATACTGCCCCCTATACACACTGACCCACCCCACGTGTCCCCTATACTGCCCCCTATACACACTGACCCCCACCCCACGTGTCCCCTATACTGCTCCCCTATACACAGTAACCCACCCCATGTGTATAGGGGAGCATGTGTTTCTCCATAACCCCCCCCCCCCCGTTTGATCACATTATATAGTACATAGAACTCCTCTATACTAGAGGGACCGTAGTCGACTTCAGACCACCTCTGCCAGCCCTCGCTGATCCCTTGGGGGACACCCTTGCCAGCCCTCGCTGATCCCTTGGGGGGCACCCTTGCCAGCCCTCGCTGATCCCTTGGGGGGCACCCTTGCCAGGCCTCGCTGATCCCTTGGGGGAGACCCTTGCCAGCCCTCGCTGATCCCTTGGGGGACACCCTTGCCAACCCTCGCTGATCCCTTGGGGGCACCTCTGCCGACCCTCGCTCATTCCTTGGGGGCCACCTCTGACGGCCCTGGCGGATCCCTTGGGGGCACCTCTGCTGGCCCTGGCAGATCCCTTGGGGGCCACCTCTGCCAGCCCTCGCTGATCCCTTGGGGGCACCTCTGCCGGCCCTCGCTCATTCCTTGGGGGCCACCTCTGCCGGCCCTGACGGATCTCTTGGGGCCACCTCTGCCGGCCCTGGCGGATCTCTTGGGGCCACCTCTGCCGGCCCTCGCTTATTCCTTGGGGTCACAGATGTGGGTATTTTAAGCTGCAGCATTTTTATCTGGGGGGGAGATTAATGCGACTTTGTAGGGAATACGATATTCCTCACTTACAGGTCTGCACAGTGACCAATCGGAGCTCGGCGTTTATTACCCGTCACGTCGCCTGTAGGAAAGTCTCAGAAATTGTGCAAAATTTTGCTGAGGAAATTTTTTTTTTATGTTATTGCTCATTCAGAATTTGTAAGTTCTGCCCATTTTTTGCGCTTGGTCAGCGTATGTTTGTGCCGAGAGTTTGCCCCGCATTGGGTGAGGCAGAAGAATCCCATGATGCACCGATCTACAAATCACTCCTGATACCTGATCCACAAATGTAGCAAAACGACAATTGTGACATTTGTATCCTAGTATTGTGTATGTGTGTTTATTATCGGGTCAGAAGTCACGTGTGTTCCCCTCCCCCGAGGGTCACATCGCTCACGTCTCCCCTCATCCTGACTCAAACACATGTGAGGGAATTATGTAAGTTATGCACAACATTTCCCGCTAACTCAGGACTTCTCAGTTCCTGAAATCAAGAAAGTCAGATACTCAAGGACAAACTATGGCAATGTATAAGGTCACGCACACTGCGGCAGATATATAGGGATACACAGACTATGGGGATATATGAGTACATGCAAACTACGGGGGATATATACACACAGACTATTGAGGATTGGGGGGGCCTTTCAGGACATGCAAACCATGTGGGGGGGAGATAATGGCACACAGACACCATGGGGTGATATATAAGGGAACACAGACTATGTCTAATGGATGATGGTTGGGTTGTTGGGTTGTTGAGTGACGGTTGGATTGTTGGATGAAGTTTGGGTTGTTGGATGACTGTTGGGTTGAGGGCTGAAGGTTGGGTGGAGGGATGACGGTTGGGTTGTTGGGTGGAGGGATGACAGTTGGGTTGTTGGGTGGAGGGATGACAGTTGGTTGTTGTTGGGTGGAGGGATGACGGTTGGGTTGTTGGGTGGAGGGATGATGGTTGGGTTGTTGGACGGTGGGATGACGGTTGGGTTGTTGGAGGGTGGTTGGGTGGAGGAATGGTGGTTGGGGGGTTGGATGGAGGGATGATGGAGGGATGATGGTTCGGTAATTGTTGGGGTGTTGGATGATGGTTGGGTGAAGGGATGACGGTTGGGTTGTTGGGTGGAGGAATGACGGTTGGGTTGTTGGACGGTGGTTGGGTGGAGGAATGGTGGTTGGGGGGTTGAGTGAAGGTTGGATGGAGGGATGATGGTTCGGTAATTGTTGGGGTGTTGGATGATGGTTGGGTGGAGGGATGAAGGTGGGTTGTTGGGTGGAGGGATGAAGGTTGGGTTGTTGGGTGGAGGGATGACAGTTGGGTTGTTGGATAGTGGTTGGGTGGAGGAATGTTGGTTGGGGGGTTGGGTGTGGGTTGGATGGAGGGATGATGGTTGGGTAATTGTGTTGGGGTGTTGGATGATGTTTGGGTGACTAAATCCATCTCTTGTCTCCCTTATCTGCTCTATATAACTTTTGCTGTGTCTCCGTAGGTGAAGACTCATCTGCAGGCACAGTCTGTGGCTGCCATTGCCGTTTGGACATCAGCACAATCATCAGGTGAGACAGACAAACTCCTGTTCCCCGACCTGTAGAGGAGATAGGATATGGCTGTGCTGGGGCGAGGGGGGCAGAAGGGGGGGAGCCAAAGATGTATTTTAACTATATATAGGGGGTTCTATAGAGTGGATAGTCCCAGATCTGGACCAGGGCATCACTGAGCTCCTGGACAGTCTAAGGTACAACCTGGAGGCGTCAGATGGACCAACACATGACATCCCAGAGGTGTTCTATTGGATTTAGGTCAGGTGAGCGTGGGGGCCATTCAGTGGTATCAATTCCTTCATCCTCCAGGAACTGCCTGCATACTCTCGCCACATGAGGCTGGGCATTGTCATGCACCGGGAGGATACCGGGACCCGCCACACCGGGAGGAACCCAGAACCTCCTGCACCAGCGTAGGGTATGACAATGGGTCCAACGATTTCATCCCGATACCTAATGGCAGTCAGGGTGCCATTGTCTATCCTGTAGAGGTCTGTGTGTCCCTCCATGGAGATGCCTCCCCAGACCATCACTGACCCACCACCACAACGGTCATCCTGAACCATGTTACAGGCAGCAGAACGTTCTCCACGGCTTCTCCAGACCCTTTCACGTCTGTCACATGTGCTCAGGGGGAACCTGTTCTCATCTGTGAGAAGCACAGGGCGCCAGTGGTGGACCTGCCAATTCTGGGGTTCAATGGCCAATGCCAATCCAGCTCTGTGGTGCCGGGCAGTGAGCACAGGGCCCACTAGAGGACGTCGGGCCCTCAGGCCACCCTCATGAAGTCTGTTTCTGATTGTTTGGTCAGAGACATTCACACCAGTGGCCTGCTGGAGGTCATTCTGTAGGGCTCTGGCAGGACTCCTCCTATTCCTCCTTGCACAAAGGAGCAGATACCGGTCCTGCTGATGGGTTAAGGACCTTCTACGGCCCTATCCAGCTCTCTTAGAGGAACTGCCCTGTCTCCTGGAATCCTCCAAGCTCTCGTCTCCTGGAATCTCCTCAAGCTCTCGTCTCCTGGAATCTCCTCCAAGCTCTTGAGACTGTGCTGGGAGACACAGCAAACCTTCTGGCAATGGCAGGTATTGATGGGCCATCCTGGAGGAGTTGGACTGCCTGTGCAACCTCTGTAGGGTCCAGGTATGGCCTCATGCTACCAGTAGTGACACTGACCCGAGCCAAATGCAAAACCAGTGAAAAACAGTCAGAAAAGATGAGCAGGGAAAACAATGTCAGTGGCCTCCACCTGTAAAACCATTCCTGTTTTGAGGGTCGTCTCCTTGTTGCCCATCTAGTGCCCCTGTTGTTAATTTCATTAACACCAAAGCAGCTGAAACTGATGAACAACCCCCTCTGCGACTTACCTGACCAGATCCATATCCCAGGAGTGTCATGGACTTCATGCGACTCGGATTACAAAGTCTGCCTTTTTTCAGCAGTGTGTATATATATATATATATAAAGATATGGCATACACTTTAGGGTTTGAATGTGCTGGGTAAGGGGAAACCAGAGACGTATGTTATCTATGTACTGTGTATATATATATATGGGACACTATAGGGGTATACCTGTGAATGGGGGGGGGGCAGAAATGTACATTCTCTCTATATGGGACACTATAGGGGTATATCTGTGAATGGGGGAGGGGGGGGGGGCAGAAAGGTATATTCTCTCTATATAGAACACTATAGGGTGTGGCTGTTTTTTGCTCGCTGCCTCCCCAGATCCAAAGTCCTCCTGCGGGAAGGAGATAGACTAATGATTAAGCCGGTGACGTTTTCCATGAGCCGGTGCCAGGTATGGGCCACGTGTGGCCGGGACAGGTAACCCTTGCACTGCTGAGTGAGGAGTAGCAACTCAGACTGTATAAAATAGGGACGTTTATGGGGCACAGAGGGCAGAATTCCCACTTTTCTGTCTTGCCATTTGGGGATTAGTAATGACAGCAATTAAGGTAGAACTGGAGGCAAAAATCTTTTTTTTTTTCCCCCATTTTGGGTGGCGTAGGCGAGGGTATGTACCATCAACCGCTGCTCCAGCTGGTCTGACCCCCCACCCCCCACCGTCAGGCCATTGGACTGTAAATCCTGTTTTTGAGTCCCAAGAGAAAATCTTCATGTTTTATCCTCATTCCTAATCTTGATTTGACATCATTTCTTATATTGATGGTCAGGCTGTTCAGCCGCCAGATCAGCTCCTCACTCCTCCTGCTGTAATATGTACCCTATATACAGCCGCACACATCGCAGAGTCCACTGTCTACAGCTTCCTCCTCTTCTCCTTCCTCCTCTTCTCCTTCTTTCCTTCCTCTCCTTCCTTCCTCTTCTCCTTCCTTCCTCTTCTCCTTCTTTCCTTCCTCTTCTCCTTCCTTCCTCTTCCTCTCCTCTCTCTTCTTCCTTCCTCTCTTCCTCCCTCTTCTCCTTCTTTCCTTCCTCTCCTTCCTTCCTCTTCTCCTTCCTTCCTCTTCTCCTTCTTTCCTTCCTCTTCTCCTTCCTTCCTTCCTCTTCTCCTTCCTTCCTTCCTCTTCTCCTTCCTTCCTTCATTTCTTCCTTCCTCTTCTCCTTCCTTCCTTCCTCTCCTTCCTTCCTTCCTCTTCTCCTTCCTTCCTTCATTTCTTCCTTCCTCTCTCCTTCCTTCTTCCTTCCTCTCCTTCCTTCCTTTCTTTCTCTTCTTTTCCTTCCTCTTCTCCTTCCTTCCTTCCTTCCTCTCCTTCCTTCCTTCCTTTCTTCCTTCCTTCTTCTTCCTTCCTTCCTTCCTTCCTTCCTTCCTTCCTTCCTTCCTTCCTCTTCCTTCCTTCCTTCCTTCTTCCTTCCTCTTCCTTCCTTCTTCATTTCCTTCCTTCCTCTTCTTCCTCTCCTTCTTCCTTCTTTCCTTCCTCTTCTTCCTCTTCTTCCTTCTTTCCTCTCCTTCCCTCCCTCTCCTTCCTTCCTTCCTTCCTCCCTTCTTTCCTTCCTGTCCTTCCTTCCTCCCCTCCCTCCCTTCCTTCTTATCCTTCCTCTTCTTCCTTCTTTCCTTTCCTTTCCCTCCCTCCCTCCCTCCCTCCTCCCTCCCTTCCTTCCTTCCTTCCTTCCTCTTCTTCCTCTCCTTCTTCCTTTCCTTCCTCTTCTTCCTTCTTTCCTTTCCCTCCCTCCCTTCCTTCCTCCTTCCTTCCTCCTCCTCCTCTCCCTTCTTCCTCTTGTCTCTTCCCTCTCTCTTTGCTTCCACTCCTCTCCTTTTCTCTTCTCTCCCATCCTCCTCTGACCTGGAGGATATAAAGACATGGCTGAAAAGCAGGGAAGATGCAGCAATGATGAAATTGTACGTAGATCTGGACCGTGGATTGTTCCGTGTCCCACTCAGATCTGTGGATTTATATATCGCTCTTCTATGGCAATGATTGAACTGAAAGCCCCACAAAGTCCGGTCAGCCTTGCGTTGTAAAACATGGCGGCTCTCTGCCTCTCACCTGTGTATTTCCTGGCCGCGATCACCTTTGTTCTAGTTCTGGAGCCGAGTTCCTGGCCTGATAACTGACATAACCAGTTAGAGGAGCCGCACCTGGCCAGCTCCCAGTCCGGGCCGAGGAACCGGCGCACGCAGAACCCCAAAGACAGCAACACAAATGGTTGTAGAAAATCGCTCAACACCAGAAACTGCAAATACTTCAAATAAACTCAGCGATGTTCTGCAGATCAATAGAGAGGTCAGCTATGGGATAATCTGCAGGATATATCAGTATGGATCTGTCAGGAGGGGGATGGAGCAATGCTCTGCAGATCTCTAGAGGGATCAGACGGGTCTGAATATAATGGTGGAATGGAGCAATCTGCAGCATAGTGGTGGAATATGCAGAGTATATATGGATCTGTCAGGAGGGGGATGGAGCAATGCTCTGCAGATCTCTAGAGGGGTCAGTGGTAGGATAATCTGCAGGATATATCAGTATGGATCTGTCAGGAGGGGGATGGAGCAATGTTCTGCAGATCTCTAGAGGGGTCAGTGGTAGAATAATCTGCAGAGTATATCAGTATGGATCTGTCAGGAGGGGGATGGGACGGAGCGATGTTCTGCAGATCTCTAGAGGGGTCAGTGGTAGAATAATCTGCAGAGTATATCAATATGGATCGGTCAGGAGGGGGATGGGACGGAGCGATGTTCTGCAGATGTCTTATTCTGTATATAATGATGAAATATTATCAGTGAACATATCTGGGTCGTTCTTTGTCTCCCCAGAGTGTCAGCTCCGCCTTCGAGACCATCTACAAGAAGGAAGGAATTCTGGGTCTGTGGCGGGGGGTGAACGGGGCGGTTCCGCGGGTCATGGTGGGCTCAGCTGTACAACTGGCGACGTTCGCCAACGCCAAGGAATGGGTGAAGAGGCGGAAGGTGAGGATTTCATAGATGTGACCCCCAATGTCCCGAATCTTCTCTCTACACAATCTGCATGTTACTGAGTGCCGATCCATGGAGGAGACGTGCTGCGCCGTTGTATTGTGGTGACGCCTGCCGCCTTCTTCTTTTCTCCTACTCGTGTCCTCCTCTTTCCTCCTCCTACTCATCTTTCCTGCTGCACTTTCCTTCCTCTCTCCTTCTTCCTGTCCTACTTCCTCTCATCCTTCTCTCTCTTCCTCTCTCCTTCTTCTTCCTCTCTTTCTTTGTTCCTCCCTCCTCCTTTTCTTCTTCCTCCTCTCTTTCTTTCTTCCTCTCTCCTTCTTCTTCCTGTCCTCTTTCTTCCTCTCTCCTCCTCTCCTTCTTCCTCTCTCCTCCTTCTTCCTCCTTCTTCCTTTCCTTTCTTGCTCTCTTTCCTTCTCCCTTCCTCTCTCCTCTCTCTTCTCTCCTCTCTCCTTCCTTTCCTCCTTCCTTTCTTCTTCCTCTCTCCTCCTTCTTCCTCCTTCTTCCTCTCCTCTCTTTTCCTTTCTTCCTCCCCTCTTTCTCTCTCCTCCCCCTTCTACTCTACCTTCTCTCTCCCTCCTCTCTCTCCCTCCTCTCCTTCTCTTCTTCCTTCTCCTCCTCTCCTTCTTCTTCCTCTCTCCTCCTATCTCTTCCTTCTCCTCCTCCTTCTTCTTTCTTCCTCTCTCCCTCTCCTCCTTCCTCTCTCCTTCTTCTTCCTCTCTCTCTCCCTCCTCTCTTCCTCCTCCCTCCTCTTCTCTTCCTTCCTCTCTCCTCTTCGTCTTCCTCTCTCTCCTCTCTCCTCACCTCCTTCTCTCCTTCTTCTTCCTCTCTCCTCACCTCCTCTCTCCCTCCCTCCCCCTCCTCCTCTCCTCCTCCTCTCTCCTTCCTCTTCCTCTCTCCTCCTCTCCTCACTTCCTTCTCTCCTTCATCTCTCCTCTCTCCTCCTCTCTCCTCCCTTCCTTTTTTCTCCCTTCCTTTCTCTCTCCTCTTCTCCTCCCTCCTTCTTCTTCCTCTCTCTCTTCTTCTTTCTCTCTCCTTCTCTTTCTTTCTCTTCTTCTTCCTCTCTCCTCTCTCCCTCCCCTCTCTCCCCTATCCTTTTTCCTCCTTCTTTCCTCTCTCTTTCTTCTTCCTCTCTCCTTCTTCTTCCTCTCTCCTTCTTCTTCCTTCTCTCCTTCTCTTCCTCTCTCCTCCTCCTTCCCCTCTCTTCCTCCTCTCTCTTCCTTTCCTCCTCTCTTTTCTCTCCTTCTCTCTCCTCTCTCTCTCCTTCTTCTTCTCTCTCCTCTCTCTCTCCTCCCTCCTCTCTCCTCCTTCTTCCTCTCTCCTTCCTCTCGCAGTGGTTCCCCGATGACAGCTGGTTGGTGCCCCTGGCCGCCGGTATGATCAGCAGTGTGGGAGTTGCGGCAGCGATGATGCCCTTTGATGTGGTGAGCACTCGCCTGTATAACCAGCCGGTGGACAGTGAAGGACGGGTAAGTGAACGTTTCGTTGCTCGGGGGGCAGTATTGATGGTCCTCGCTGGGCAGCAGTAATGGGCGCCTGGGCCACCATCGCAGTCTAGCAATGAATGGATCCTGGGGTCGGGTTCAGCAGATTTATTCTGGAGGGATTCCAAGATTGATTTAAGAACATTTTTGCTTCTTTGTAATGGAACTGCTGGGCTGAGGGTGGGGGAGGGGGATTCCAAGTACTGATAACCCCCGCCCACTAATTGGGGGGGGTGGGATGCTATACGGGTGCAGACAGTACATTGGTAGCCCATGATTGGTGGATTGGTGTGATGACACGTGTATGTGTGTGCGCAGGGTCGGCTGTACCGCGGATTCCTGGACTGCTTTGTGAAGATCACGCGCACAGAAGGGGTCCTGGCTCTCTACAAGGGGATTGTCCCGGCCTACGTCCGCCTGGGACCGCACACCATCCTCAGCCTGCTCTTCTGGGAGGAGCTACGGAAACTCACCTATTACTACCAGCACCACTGAGGGCCGGGCCTGTGCCGCCACGTGCCGTGAGGGGTGTGGAAACGCCAGCACCCTGCCGCCATGTTGGGTTAGTCCGATTCCTGAGGCCGGAGGAGGATTGAGGAAGAGCCCCGCTCTGAGAACTGTGTGGTCACCGGATGCAGGAGAGCGTGGACATGTTTACAGCAGGGGATGGGCTATTTGTTGCTCCGCGGGGGTGGGGCTCTGGAGCTTTGAGGCCTCATTAACCACTAACATTACTTGAAGTATCGCTGTAAGTCTGGAGGGATTCTGGGAAGGGGGATCCTTGGACCCCATTGGAGGACTTGGACACCTAGATTGTGGGGTTGTCCCCACCCCCCTCCCCCCCACGAGGCTTTCCAGATTTCTCCTGACAATCATTCAATGTGGTCCTCCACTGTGATGTCCAACCAATGGGGCGATCCTCCCGCTGACACTTCGTTATGAAATGAAGACGAACGTTTCCGATGATATCGATCTGCTGATGAATATATTTTTCTGATGAATATTTTCTGTGATTTCTTCCATCTGATATTTGATATCTGTAGCCGGAGTCCTGAGGACGATGGATGGAAATTGTGATGATTTATATTTTTTCCAACAATTACAAAATATTTCTGAATGTCTTCACCGGTGGGATTGTGTCTGTGGGGGGAAGGGGGGTGCACGGGGGGAAGGGGGGTGCACGGGGGGAGGGGGGTGCACAAGGGAGGGGGGGGCACAGGGTGACACAATGTTATCATTTATACTATTATGACACAGAAAGAACTCTTCTTGTATCACAAAGAGAATATCTGGGACCTGAGGGAGGGGCTACTTGTCAATAGAATCAGGGGGCGGGTTCAGCTTAGCAGCAGGCCACGCCCATGTCCTCTCAAATGGCAGTTGGCAATGTCACAGTGAAGGTCTGGGACTAATAGAGCAGCACCACCTACCAACCCATCCCCCCCACCCATTAGCCCCACCCCCAACCACGCCTTCCCTGCTGGTATTTATCTGTAGGTTGGGGGGATGTATCTATCTGTAGGTTGGGGGGGGGGGTGTATCTATCTGTAGGTTGGGGGGGGGGGGGGCGTATCTATCTGTAGGTTGGGGGGGGGGATTTATTTATCTGTAGGTCGGGGAGGGGGGGGGTGTATTTATCTGTAGGTGGGGGGGGGTGTATTTATCTGTAGGTAGGGGGGGGGTGTATTTATCTGGGGGGGGGTGTATTTATCTGTAGGTCGGGGGGGGGTGTATTTATCTGTAGGTCGGGGGGGGTAGGTGTGTATTTATCTGTAGGTCGGGGGGGGTGTATTTATCTGTAGGTCGGGGGGGGGGATGTATTTATCTGTAGGTCGGGGGGGGGGTGTATTTATCTGTAGGTCGGGGGGGGGGATGTATTTATCTGTAGGTCGGGGGGGGGGTGTATTTATCTGTAGGTCGGGGGGGGGGGGTGGGGGGGGGGTGTATTTATCTGTAGGTCGGGGGGGGGGTGTATTTATCTGTAGGTCGGGGGGGGTGTATTTATCTGTAGGTCAGGGGGGGGGTGTATTTATCTGTAGGTCGGGGGGGGGGTGTGGGGGGGGGGATGTATTTATCTGTAGGTCGGGGGGGGGGTGTATTTATCTGTAGGGGGTGTATTTATCTGTAGGTCGGGGGGGGGTGTATTTATCTGTAGGTCGGGGGGGGTGTATTTATCTGTAGGTCGGGGGGGTGTATTTATCTGTAGGTCGGGGGGGTGTATTTATCTGTAGGTCGGGGGGGGGGTGTATTTATCTGTAGGTCGGGGGGGGGTGTATTTATCTGTAGGTCGGGGGGGGGGGGGATGTATTTATCTGTAGGTCGGGGGGGGGGGGGGGTGTATTTATCTGTAGGTCGGGGGGGGGGGGGTTGTATTTATCTGTAGGTCGGTCGGGGGGGGTGTATTTATCTGTAGGGGGGGGGGGGTGTGTATTTATCTGTAGGTCGGGGGGGGGATGTATTTATCTGTAGGTCGGGGGGGGGTGTATTTATCTGTAGGTCGGGGGGGTGTATTTATCTGTAGGTCGGGGGGGGGTGTATTTATCTGTAGGTCGGGGGGGGGTAGGTCGGGGGGGTGTATTTATCTGTAGGTCGGGGGGGGGGTATTTATCTGTAGGTCGGGGGGGGTGTATTTATCTGTAGGTCGGGGGGGTGTATTTATCTGTAGGTCGGGGGGGGGGGGTGTATTTATCTGTAGGTCGGGGGGGGTGTATTTATCTGTAGGTCGGGGGGGGGGTGTATTTATCTGTAGGTCGGGGGGGGGGTGTATTTATCTGTAGGTCGGGGGTGTATTTATCTGTAGGTGGGTGTGTATTTATCTGTAGGTCGGGGGGGGGTGTATTTATCTGTAGGTCGGGGGGGGGGGTGTATTTATCTGTAGGTCGGGGGGGGGGGTGTATTTATCTGTAGGTCGGGGGGGGGTGTATTTATCTGTAGGTTGGGGGGGGGTATTTATCTGGGGGGGGGGGTGTATTTATCTGTAGGTCGGGGGGGGTGTATTTATCTGGTCGGGGGGGGGGGGGGGGTGTATTTTATAGCATGGACCCAAACACATTTTCTAACATTTTGTTCCTGAGAACAACCAATCACATCGATTGCCAGCACTGGGAGGAGGAGTCTGGGAGGAGTCTGGGGCTCCGAGATGATTTTCCTGATTTGTATTTCTTTGTCTCTTTTTTGATGTTTTGTGTTCTATGTGATGAAGACGCTGTCCAGGGTGTAGGGATGGGGGGGCACGCGGGGCGGAGCAGGGGGGGGGCACGGAGCCGCCTCTATTATCTGATCATGAATGTTCCTCGCTCCCCTCTGCAGGTCACTGATGCCACGTGCTGTGCAGGCGCCGCGCCACGCGGGGATCATCCCTCGTAAACACAGATTATAAATACATCCTCCGCCCTGACTCAGGGAAACGTTCAAATTACTTCTCCTGCCGGCTATTTATACCCCACATCACCGCAATTCAATGAAGGCGGAGCCAAGAATGGCCCCTCCCCCATCAGAATTCGCAGAATCCTCCTAATTCTCCATAATTGTTACATTGTAATGCTATTTATTATAATGGACGTTGCGCTCGACGCGTCACATTTTGCGGTTTCAGATTTCCACAATGGGGCTTCCCATACAGAGATGGAGATACTCCCTCTAGTGGCCAACACTGTGTCAAACAATGAGATGCTGAGGTAAGATCAATTAGCCGCACAGCCTGTCCCTGCAGAGGAGTCAGCAGGCAGCTCTACTCATCGGGCAGCGCAGTCCGCATATACAATGGGGCAAAAAAGTATTTAGTCCCCACCAATGGTGCAAGTTCTCCCACTTACAGAGATGAGAGAGGCCTGTAATTGGCATCATAGGGAGACCTCAACTATGAGAGACAAAAATGAGAAAACAAATCCAGACAATCTCATTGGCTGATCTGGAAAGATTGATTTGCAAATTATGGTGGAAAATCAGTATTTGGTCACCTACAAGCAAGCAAGATTTCTGTCTCTCACAGACCTGGACCTTCTTCTTTAAGAGGCTCCTCTCCTCCTGCACTCATTACCTGTATCAATGGCACCTGTTTGAACTTGTTATCAGTATAAAAGACACCTGTCCACAACCTCAAACAGTCACACTCCAAACTCCACTATGGTGAAGACCAAAGAGCTGTCAAGGACACCAGAAACAACATTGTAGACCTGCACCAGGCTGGGAAGACTGAATCTGCAATAGGCAAGCAGCTTGGTGTGAACAAATCAACTGTGGGAGCAATAATTAGAAAATGGAAGACATACAAGACCACTGATAATCTCCCTCCATCTGGGGCTCCACGCAAGATCTCACCCCGTGGGGTCAAAATGATCACAAGAACGGTGAGCAAAAATCCCAGGACCACACGGGGGGACCTAGTGAATGACCTGCAGAGAGCTGGGACCAACGTAACAAAGGCTACCATCAGTAAACACACTACGCCGCCAGGGACTCAGATCCTGCAGTGCCAGACGTGTCCCCCTGCTTAAGCCAGTACATGTCCGGGGCCCGTCTGAAGTCTGCTAGAGAGCATTTGGATGATCCAGAAGAGGATTGGGAGAATGTCATATGGTCAGATGAAACCAAAATAGAACTGTTTGGTAGAAACACAACTCGTCGTGTTTGGAGGAGAGAGAATGCTGAGTTGCATCCAAAGAACACCATACCTACTGTGAAGCATGGGGGGTGGCAACATCATGCTTTGGGGCTGTTTCTCCGCAAAGGGACCAGGATGACTGATCCATGTACAGGACAGAATGAATGGGGCCATGTATCGTGAGATTTTGAGTGCAAACCTCCTTCCATCAGCAAGGGCATTGAAGATGAAACGTGGCTGGGTCTTCCAACATGACAATGATCCCAAACATACCGCCCGGGCAACGAAGGAGTGGCTTCGTAAGAAGCATTTCAAGGTCCTGGAGTGGCCTAGCCAGTCTCCAGATATCAACCCCATAGAAAAGCTTTGGAGGGTGTTGAAAGTCCGTGTTGCCCAGCGACAGCCCCAAAACATCACTGCTCTAGAGGAGATCTGCATGGAGGAGGAGATCTGCATGGAGGAGGAGATCTGCATGGAGGATGGGCCAACATACCAGCAACAGTGTGTGCCAACCTTGTGAGGACTTCCAGGAAACGTCTGACCTCTGTCATTGCCAACAAAGGATATATAACAAAGTATTGACATGAACTTTTCATATTCACCAAATACTTATTTTCCACCATAATTTGCAAATAAATTCTTTCCAGATCAGCCAATGAGATTGTCTGGATTTGTTTTCTCATTTTGTCTCTCATAGTTGAGGTCTCCCTATGATGCCAATTACAGGCCTCTCTCATCTCTGTAAGTGGGAGAACTTGCACCATTGGTGGGGACTAAATACTTTTTTGCCGCACTGTATAATGAGCCAATATGGCCGCCTCTATGGATACAATAGTATATATAATATAATGCATAGCCACAAAGTAGAAGACCCGTTACCAGCCTATGAGCAGCATGTGATAGGAGGAGACATTCGTGCTGCGAACACTCCGAGGACAATCCATCGATCGACACATCCGATGTATGGAGTACAACAATGTACCAACCGAAAGATTCCTCAATATACACAAAGAGAGCTATGGGGGGGGGACCAGAGCTGTCCTGTCCAGAATATAACTCTGACCTCCCCCCCCCCCCCCCCCATCCACACCAGACAAACAATGTCATGTGACCCTTCACTGGGACATAGGAGCTGACCGTCCATTAACATGAATCTACTGCCATCTACTGGTAAGTGTGAGAATTACCTTCCAACCTGCCTATATAGACTACATTGCCCCCAGTATTGTCCCGCCCTTTCCAACACACATGAGACCTGTAATGGCCCCCCAGTCTTAGTCCGTAGGGTTCAATATTGGGTTGGCCCCGCCCTTTCCACACACATGACCTTTAATGGCCCCCCCAGTCTTAGTCCGTAGGGTTCAATATTGGGTTGGCCCCGCCCTTTCCACACACATGACCTTTAATGGCCCCCCCAGTCTTAGTCCGTAGGGTTCAATATTGGGGGACCTTTAATGGCCCCCCCGCCCGTAGGGTTCAATATTGGGTTTAGCCCCACCCCACACACATGACCTTTAATGGCCCCCCCAGTCTTAGTCCGTAGGGTTCAATATTGGGTTGGCCCCGCCCTTTCCACACACATTATTATTATTATTATTATTATTATTATACAGTATTTATAGTTCGCTCAGCGCTGTACATTACAGAGGGGGACAGAACATGTGACAGAACAATACCAATACAATGTGATACATGAGGGGATCGAGGGCCCTGATCCTTGGAGCTTACAATCTAGGAGGGGGGGGGATGGTGGCACAGGAGGAGATAGCTGTGGGGGATGGAGTGGTGGGAAGAGTGGAGGAGGTCAGCAAGTTAGCAGGGGGTGGGGTAGGCTTCCCTGAAGAGATGGGTTTTCAGGGTGCGCCTAAAGGAGAGGAGAGTAGGTGATAGTCTGATGGGTTGGGGCAGGGAGTTCCAGAGGATGGGTGACACCCTGGAGAAGTCCTGGAGGCGGGCATGGGAGGAGGAGACCAGGGAACTAGAGAGAAGGAGGTCTTGTGAGGAGCGGAGTGTGCGTGTTGGGTGGTACTTGGATATTAGGTCAGTGATGTAGTTCGGGGCAGTATGGTGGACGGCTTTGTACGTCAGTGTTAGGAATTTGAATTTGATCCGTTGCACAATCGGAAGCCAGTGGAGGGATTGGCAGAGAGGGATGGAGGCCAGTGGAGGGATTGGCAGAGGGGGGTGGAGGACACTGAGTGGAGGCCAGTGGAGGGATTGGCAGAGGGGGGTGGAGGACACTGAGTGGAGGCCAGTGGAGGGATTGGCAGAGGGGGATGGAGGACACTGAATGGAGGCCAGTGGAGGGATTGGCAGAGGGGATGGAGGACACTGATGGAGGCCAGTGGAGGGATTGGCAGAGAGGGGTGGGGGACACTGAATGGAGGCCAGTGGAGGGATTGGCAGAGGGGGGTGGAGGACACTGAGTGGAGGCCAGTGGAGGGATTGGCAGAGGGGGGTGGCCATTGGCAGAGGGGGGTGGCGGAAACGGAGCGATTGGAAAGGTGAATGAGTCTGGCAGCCGTATTCAGGATGGACTGAAGCGGGGATAGCCAGCGGTGAGGCAGGCCAGTGAGGAGGGAGTTGCAGTAGTCGAGTCGTGATATGATGAGGGAGTGGATGAGCTGTTTAGTGGTTTCTGGGGTTAGGAACGTGCGGATTTTGGCGATGTTGCGGAGGCGGAGTCTGCATGTTGCGGAGGCGGAGTCTGCATGTTGCGGAGGCGGAGTCTGCATGTTGCGGAGGTGGAGTCTGCATGGCGGAGGTGGAGTCGGCACGAGTTTGTTAAAGATTGGACTTGGGGCTGGAAGGATAGGTTGGAGTCCAGAATGACACCAAGTACTCTGGCCTGCAGAGCGGGTTTGATATTGGCGTTGTTGGATGTGATGTAGAAGTCAATGGGGGGGGGGGGGTCCGGGCTGGGGGGGAAGACAAGAAACTCGGTTTTGGAGAGGTTCATTTAAGGAAGTGGAGTGACATCCAGTCTGATATGTCGCTCAGTAGGTGTGTGATTCGGGCTGAGACCGAGGGGGTGAGGTGGGGGCGGAGACCGAGGGGGTGAGGTGTGGGGGTTGAGAGATAGATTTTGTGTGTCGTCGGCATAGAGGTGGTAGTTGAAGCCGTGAGAGTGTATGAGTTGGCCAAGGGAGGAGGTGTAGATGGAGAAGAGAAGGGGCCCGAGGACAGAGCCTTGAGGGGACCCCAACAGAGAGGGGGAGGTGAGGGGGAGGTGGCCCCCAGTCTTAGTCCGTAGGGTTCAATATTGAGTTGGCCCCGCCCTTTCCACACACATGACCTTTAATGGCCCCCCAGTCTTAGTCCGTAGGGTTCAATATTGAGTTGGCCCCGCCCTTTCCACACACATGACCTGTAATGGCCCCCCAGTCTTAGTCCGTAGGGTTCAATATTGAGTTGGCCCCGCCCTTTCCACGCACATGACCTTTAATGCCCCCCACACTTAGTCCGTAGGGTTCAATATTGAGTTGGCCCCGCCCTTTGCAGCTATAACAGCTTCAACTCTTCTGGGAAGGCCGTCCACAAGGTTTAGGAGGGTGTCTATGGGAAGGTTGGACCATTCTTCCAGAAGCACATTTGTCAGGTCAGGCACTGATGTTCGGGGGAGGGGCCTGGCTCGCAGTCTCCGCTCTAATTCATCCCAAAGGTGTTCTATGGGGTTGAGGTCAGGACTCTGTGCAGGACAGTCAAGTTCCTCCACCCCAAACTGGCTCCTCCATGTCTTTATGTACCTTGCTTTGTGCACTGGTGGGCAGTCATGTTGGAACAGGAAGGGGCCATCCCCAAACTCCTCCCACAAAAGTTGGGGGCATGAAATTGTCCAAAATGTCACTTTAAGAGTTCCCTTCACTGGAAACTAGGGGGCCAAATCCACCCTCTGAGAAACAACCCCACACCATAATCCCCCCCTCCACCAAACTTTACACTTGGCACAATGCAGTCAGACAAGTACTGTTCTCCTGGCAACCACCAAACCCAGACATGTCCATCGGGTTGCCAGACAGAGAAGCGTGATTGGTCCCTCCAGAGAACACGTCTCCTCTGCTCTAGAGTCTAGTGGCGGCGTGCCTTTACACCACGGCATCCGACGCTTTGCATTGCACTTGGTGATGGAAGGCTTGGATGCAGCTGCTTCGGCCATGGAAACCCATTCCATGAAGCTCTCTACGCACTGTTTGTTGGGCTCATCTGAAGGCCACACCAAGTTTGGAGGTCTTTAGCTATTGACTCTGCAGACAGTTGGTGACTTGCGCACTGTGCGCTTCAGCATGCGCTGACCCCGCCCTGTCATGTGACGTGGCCTACCACTTGGTGGCTGAGTGGCTGTTGTTCCCAGTGGCTTCCACTTTGTTATAAATCCCACTAACAGTTGAGCGTGGAATATTTAGTAGCCAGGAAATGTCACGGATGGACTTATTGCCCAGGTGGCCACCTATCACGGGACCACGCTTGGAGTCACTGAGCTCCTGAGAGCGACCCATTCTTTCACCAATGTTTGTAGAAAGCCGTCTGCATGCCTAGGGGATGGATTGTATACACCTGTGTCCATGGAGGGGATTGGGACACCTGAATCACATGATATGGAGGGGATTGGAATACCTGAATCACATGATATGGAGGGGATTGGAACACCTGAATCACATGATTGGGGAGGGGGTAACACCTGAATTGTAACACCTGAATCACATGATTGGGAGGGGATTGGAAACACCTGAATCACATGATATGGAGGGGATTGGAACACCTAATCACATGAATGGAGGGGATTGGAACACATGATTATGGAGGGGATTGGGACACCTGAATCACATGATATGGAGGGGAATTGGAACACCTGAATCACATTGATATGGAGGGGATTGGAAACACCTGCATCACATGATTGGGGGGATTGTAACACCTGAATCACATGATAGGGAGGGGATTGGAGCACCTGAATCACATGATATGGAGGGGATTGGAACACCTGAAATCACATGATTGGGTAGGGATTGATTGGAACACCTGAATCACATGATATGGAAGGGGATTGGAACACCTGGAAATCACATGATTGGAGGAGATTGGAGCCATGACATCACATGATTGGAGGAGATTGGAGCCCATGAATCACATGATTGGAGGAGATTGGAACCCATGAATCACATGATATAGGAGGGGGGGACAATATTTTGGGGGCAATGTCGTGTATACAGGATAGAACAGATACCGAGAATGGACACCCAGGGCATACAAAACAGGGAAGTGGGACTGTGCAGAGTGCGGGGGGTGGGGGGAGGTAAACATTGGGTGTGTAATAAGACAATCCCTGGTCCCTGACCTGTGATCTCGACTTGTGGTAAATATTGGACCACTGTGAGATCTGATTTGTCCCCAGTGAAGAGGACCTGTCCTGTGTACTGATCTCCCTCTATATATGATCATCCATTGATCCGCCATCCTTCATACAAGTGAAATTTGGTGATCAATACCTATTGATCATTATCAGATTGCTGCGTCTGGACGATTATTGCGATGGGGGAAAGAAGTCGCTGACATTTCTGTACAATCACTGAGCTGCGCGCTGCTGCGACTTTCATGTAGTTTGGCACGCATGAAAATATGTGCATCTGCCAATTGCATGGGGGGGCTATTAGAATGTATGGGGGGCTATTAGAATGTATAGGAGGCTGTTTGAATGCATAGGGGGGGCTATTAGAATGTATGGGGGGATATTTTTAGAATGTTGGGGGCTATTAGAATGCATGGGGGATGGGGGTTGTTATTAGAATATAAATGGGGGGCTATTAGAATGTGATGGGGGGGGGCTGTTTGAATGCATGGGGGGTATTATTAGAATGTATGGGGGGGGGGGCTATTAGAATGCATGGGGGGTATTATTTAGAATGTATGGGGGTGCTATTAGAATGTTGTATGGGGGTGTTATTAGATGTTGTATGGGGGGCTATTAGAATGTATGGGGGGCTATTAGAATGCATGGGGGGCTATTAGAGTGAGCTTACTATTTGTATGGGGGGGGGGGGCTGCATTTGGTGTCTCCTCCCTACGTTGTGTTGCGTTCCGGACAGATCGACTCGGTTTGTTGGTGCGACTCCACAGTTCACATGGTTGGTGTCCTAATGGAGGGCCTCCGCCCACAGCGGCGATACAGACGTCAGCACATGCGCAGACAGGGTAAAGTCCATCCCTGGTGATAGCAGGTGAGTCCCACTTTATAACAGGGGCCACACGGGGTCTGTCTAGGGCCCCAGAGAGGCAGCAATGGGGGTTAATGTCTGTGTGCTCAGTGATGTCACAATGTGACCTTTACTCTGCAATAACAGACAGGAGGGAGTCCGAGTCCAGCCAGACGCAGGCGCAGACTCCAGAGCACAGCCAGGCGATGGGGCTCCTTCTCCTACGTGGCCTCCTTCCTCCCCGGGGTGCCCTGGGACTTCTGGGGCGGCGTGGGACTCTCTTCTACAAGGTTGAGACCAAACACGATCATAGCTGACCAACTAACCCGCCCACAACTAGTCCTCACTAACCCACATAACTAGTCCTCACTGACCCACAACTAGTCCTCACTACCCCACAACTAGTCCTCACTACCCCACAACTAGTCCTCACTGATCCCAACATACTAGTCCTCACTACTCCACAACTAGTCCTCACTACCCCACAACTAGTCCTCACTGACCCACAACTAGTCCTCACTACCCCACAACTAGTCCTCACTACCCCCACAACTAGTCCTCACTACCCCGCCCACAACTAGTCCTGACACTGAACCCACAACTAGTCCTCACTGACCCCCACAACTTGTCCTCACTAACCCCACTACCCAAACTAGTCCTCACTACCCCACATACTAGTCCTCACAACTAGTCCTCACTACCCCACAACTAGTCCTCACTGACCCACAAACTAGTCCTCACTACCCCACAACTAGTCCTCACTACCCACAACTAGTCCTCACTACCCCACAACTAGTCCTCACTGACCCACAACTAGTCCTCACTACCCCACACAACTAGTCCTCACTAACCCACAAATATTCCTCACTGACCCACAACTAGTCCTCACTAACCCACAACTAGTCCTCACTACCCCACAACTAGTCTTCACTGACCCACAACTTGTCCTCACCAGGGCGGACTGACCATTTGGGAACTCAGGCATTGCCCGGAGGGCCCGGGGGTCAGTAGGGGGCCCCATGAGATGCCCCTGGTACCTTTCATAGGCTTTTTTGGTTGTGATTTGAGAGTGGATGAGGACACACAGGGGCCCCCATGATCCCCTATTGCCCGGGGGCCCCATGAGTTATCAGTCCACCCTGGTCCTCACTAACCCACACCTAGTCCTCACTGATTCTGACCCTGTGACTGTAGTCCCGGTATACATGGCTCTGGGCCGGGGGTCTCCAAACAAAACAGTTTACTGTCCTTCAAACTTTAGGGGGCCGGACTGTGGTCAGTGGGGACAGGAAATGTCCCAGGATCAGTGGCAGTAAAGAATGCCCCATCATTGGTGTCAGTGGGAGGAATAGTGCCCCCGTCATTGGTGTCAGTGGGAGGAATAGTGCCCCATCATTGGTGTCAGTGGGAGGATAGTGCCCCATCATTGTATCAGTGGGAGGAATAGTGCCCCATCATTAGTGTCAGTGGGAGGAATAGTGCCCCATCATTGGTGTCAGTGGGAGGAATAGTGCCCCATCATTGGTGTCAGTGGGAGGAATAGTGCCCCATCATTGGTGTCAGTGGGAGGAATAGTGCCCCACCATTGGTGTCAGTGGGAGGAATAGTGCCCCACCATTGGTGTCAGTGGGGGGAATAGTGCCCCATCATTGGTGTCAGTGGGAGGAATAGTGCCCCATCATTGGTGTCAGTGGGAGGAATAGTGCCCCATCATTGGTGTCAGTGGGAGGAATAGTGCCCCATCATTTGGTGTCAGTGGGAGGAATAGTGCCTCATCATTGGTGTCAGTGGGAGGAGTAGTGCCCCATCATTGGTGTCAGTGGGAGGAATAGTGCCCCATCATTGGTGTCAGTGGGAGGAATAGTGCCCCCATCATTGGTGTCAGTGGGAGGAATAGTGCCCCCATCATTGGTGTCAGTGGGAGGAATAGTGCCCCATCATTGGTGTGTCAGTGGGGGGAATAGTGCCCCATCATTGGTGTCAGTGGGGGGAATAGTGCCCCATCATTGGTGTCAGTGGGAGGAATAGTGCCCCCATCATTGGTGTCAGTGGGAGGAATAGTGCCCCATCATTGGTGTCAGTGGGGGAATAGTGCCCCCATCATTGGTGTCAGTGGGGGGAATAGTGCCCCATCATTGGTGTCAGTGGGGGGAATAGTGTCCCATCATTGGTGTCAGTGGGAGGAATAGTGCCCCCATCATTGGTGTCAGTGGGGGGGAATAGTGCCCCCATCATTGGTGTCAGTGGGGGGAATAGTGCCCCATCATTGGTATCAGTGGGAGGAATAGTGTCCCATCATTGGTGTCAGTGGGAGGAATAGTGCCCCCATCATGGTGTCAGTGGGAGGAATAGTGCCCCATCATTGGTGTCAGTGGGAGGAATAGTACCCATCATTAGTATCAGTGGAAGGAACAGTGCCCCATCATTGGTGTCAGTGGGAGGAATAGTGCCCCATCATTGGTGTCAGTGGGAGGAATAGTACCCCATCATTGATATCAGTGGGAGGAATAGTGCCCCATCATTGGTGTCAGTGGGAGGAATAGTGCCCCCATCATTGGTGTCAGTGGGGGGAATAATAATTGGTGTCAAGGGCCGGATAAAATACAGGAAAGGGCCACATCTGGCCCCCGGACCGCAGTTTGGGGACCCCTGCTGTAGTCCTATGGCGAGGAGTAATGGGCGTGTCTTGTCTTCCAGGTGTGGTGGGGGCGTGTGCCGTCTCCGTCCTCTACAACCTCATGCGGGTTTATCTCTACATCAAATGTCTCAAGTAAGTCGCCATCAGCAACGGGAGACACCGGGAACCGGCACCCATCCCCCTCACTATCCCCCCCCCCCCCGGGACCCCCTGGGACCCCCCAGGAGCGATTCATACACCCGGGGGACTTCTACCCAGCCTAGACATAGTGCTGTATCCGGGGTCCCTCTGATCCCCCCCGCAGTCCCATCATCTACTTCTCTGTATTGGGGGAAGGATCGGTCCAATGGGTGGTCTGCGCCAGATAAGGTCCCCGATTATGGGGGGTTCTAGATGAGGAGGATTTCAATGGATATCTTCTAGAGGAGCCCAACTAATCATTCTACAACTCAGAACATCTGTGGGACCATCAGAGGGGGAGAATGTCCCTTACATTAGGGGGGTCAGCGGAAGAATGTCCCTTACATTGGGGGGGGTCACCGCGGAAGAATGTCCCTTACATTGGGGGGTGTCAGCGGGAAGAATGGGGGGTGTCAGCGGGAAGAATGAATGTCCTTCCTTGGGGGGTCATGTGATAAAGAATGCCCTTTACCTGAAGAAGAATACTTACATTGGGGGGGTCAGCGGGAAGAATGTCCCTTACATTGGGGTCAGTGGAAGAATGTCCCTTACATTGGGGGTCAGTGGGAAGAATGTCCCTTACATTGGGGTCAGTGGAAGAATGTCCCTTACATTGGGGTCAGTGGGAAGAATGTCCCTTACATTGGGGGTCAGTGGGAAGAATGTCCCTTACATTGGGGGTCAGTGGGAAGAATGTCCCTTACATTGGGGGTCAGTGGGAAGAATGTCCCTTACATTGGGGGTCAGTGGGAAGAATGTCCCTTACATTGGTGGTCAGTGGGAAGAATGTCCCTTACATTGGTGGTCAGTGGGAAGAATGTCCCTTACATTGGGGTCAGTGGGAAGAATGTCCCTTACATTGGGGTCAGTGGGAAGAATGTCCCTTACATTGGTGGTCAGTGGGAAGAATGTCCCTTACATTGGTGGTCAGTGGGAAGAATGTCCCTTACATTGGGGGGTCAGGGAAGAATGTCCCTTACATTGGGGTCAGGGGGAATGTCCCTTACATTGGGGGGGGGGGGGGGGGGTCAGTGGGAAGAATGTCCCTTACATTGGGGTCAGTGGGAAGAATGTCCCTTACATTGGGGTCAGTGGGGAAGAATGTCCCTTACATTGGGGTCAGGGAAGAATGTCCCTTACATTGGGGGTCAGTGGGAAGAATGTCCCTTACATTGGGGATCAGTGGGAAGAATGTCCCTTATATTGGGGGGTCAGTCAGTGAGGCCCCCCCACACACACACAGAGGATGGTGCACCCCCCTCCCCTCCCCCATACGTAGAGGACGACCCCCATGGGAGCAGATATTTCATGTTGTGTATCATGTGTGAAAACAGGTGGAAACATGAGAACTGCAATCTGATTGGCTGCTGTGCTAAATAATGATTTCTCTCCCTCAGTGATCCGGACAGAGAGAAGAAAGCGCCACGCCTTGGATCTCAGTCCCGCCTCCGCGGTCTGCTCCATCTGGTGCTGCTCAGCACCATCTACGCCCTGCTGGGGCCCGGGTGGGAGCTCTGGTGGTCCTGGAATTCTCTCTGCGTGCCGTCTCCATGATCCTGTCCATGCAGAAGGTCCATATCAGTATACAGGTCCATGTTTGTGGGTGAAGTATATACAGGAGATATATATCTACACTATATTGTCCCAAGTATTGGGCCCCGGCCTTCCCACACACATGACCTTTAATGGCCCCCCAGTCTTAGTCCGTAGGGTTCAATATTGAGTTGGCCCCGCCCTTCCCACGCACATGACCTTTAATGACCCCCCAGTCTTAGTCCGTAGGGTTCAATATTGAGTTGGCCCCGCCCTTTCCATGCACATGACCTTTAATGGCCCCCCAGTCTTAGTCCGTAGGGTCCAATATTGAGTTGGCCCCGCGCTTTCCATGCACATGACCTTTAATGGCCCCCCAGTCTTAGTCCGTAGGGTTCAATATTGAGTTGGCCCCGCCCTTCCCACGCACATGACCTTTAATGGCCCCCCAGTCTTAGTCCGTAGGGTTCAATATTGAGTTGGCCCCGCCCTTTCCACACACATGACCTTTAATGACCCCCCAGTCTCAGCCTACAGGGTTCAATATTGAGTTGGCCCCGCCCTTTGCAGCTATAACAGCTTCAACTCTTCTGGGAAGGCCGTCCACAGGGTTTAGGAGGGTGTCTATGGGAAGGTTGGACCATTCTTCCAGAAGCACATTTGTCAGGTCAGGCACTGATGTCGGGGGAGGGCACTGATGTCGGGGGAGGGGCACTGATGTCGGGGGAGGAGGCCTGGCTCGCAGTCTCCGCTCTAATTCATCCCAAAGGTGTTCTATGGGGTTGAGGTCAGGACTCTGTGCAGGACAGTCAAGTTCCTCCACCCCAAACTGGCTCCTCCATGTCTTTATGGACCTTGCTTTGTGTACTGGTGCGCAGTCATGTTGGAATAAGACGTCAGTGGTCCCGTGACTGACCCCCGCTCTCTATACTGGGTCCCGTGACTGACCCCCGCTCTCTAAACTGGGGATGGTCCTGCCTATGGGACAATGTTACAGTATCAGTCTGTAGTAAACACTTTCCCTGCTGGCCAGCACATTGGGGCCCAAATCCGGCACTGAAGCGCTCCAGATTCTCCCAACTCCGGTTTAGGTGTCCAAAGCAAACAATATTGTCCTCCTGTCATAGAGTGCAGCGGGGTTTGTCCAGCTCCTCCCGCCACCTCCTGGGGTGACCGCTGCTCTCTGTCCCTTCTCCATTGGTGGCTCGGTGTCAGGTGGCAGCACCGGCGCTGTCTGTACCAAGAAATGTCTGCTACTCCATCTATTGGTGTATGTGGGCGGGGCATACAGTATATATAGGGTGGTGACTATGTATGTGGGCAGGGCATACAGTATATATAGGGTGGTGACTATGTATGTGTGGGCGGGGCATACAGTATATATAGGGTGGGGTGGGGGGACTATGTATGTGGGCGGGGCATACAGTATATATAGGGTGGTGACTATGTATGTGGGCGGGGCATACATTATATATAGGGTGGTGACTATGTAAGTGGGCGGGGCATACAGTATATATAGGGTGGTGACTATGTATGTGGGTGGGGCATACAGTATATATAGGGTGGTGACTATGTATGTGGGCGGGGCATACAGTATATATAGGGTGGTGACTATGTTTGTGTATGTGGGAGGGTGTACATGTGTTGGGGGGCATAAATGTGTATGGGGGTTATCCATGTGTGGGGGGGTATCCATTTGTGGGTGGTATACATGTGTGTCGGGGGGTATACATGTGTGGGGGGGTATACATGTGTAGGGGGGCATCCATGTGTGTGGGGGGGTATACATGTGTAGGGGGGGTATACATGTGTTTGGGGTGTATCCGTGTATGTGGGGTATACATGTATAGGGGGTGAATATTTTTGTGTATGGGGGGGTATCCATGTGTGTGTGGGGGTATCCATGTGTGGGGGGAGTATACATGTGTATGGGGGGGGTATCCATGTTTGGGGGTGTCCATGTTTGGGGGTGTCCATGTATGGGGGTATACCTGTATGGGGGGTATCCATGTATGGGGGGGTATGGGGGTGTCCATGTATGGGGGTATACCTGTATGGGGGGTATCTATGTATGGGGGTGTCCATGTATTGGGGGGTATCTATGTATGGGGGTATCCATGTTTGGGGGGTATCCATGTTTGGGGGTGTCCATGTATTGGGAGGTATCTATGTATGGGGGTATCCATGTTTGGAGGGTATCCATGTTTGGGGGGTGTCCATGTATTGGGGGGTATCCATGTATGGGGGTATCCATGTGTATGGGGGTATCCATGTGTATCCATGGGGGGTATCTATGTATGGGTGTGTCCATGTATGGGGGGGGTATCTATGTATGGGGGTATCCATGTGTATGGGGGTATCCATGTATGGGGGGTATCTATGTACGGGGGGTATCCATGTATGAGGGTGTCCATGTTTGGGGGGTATACCTGTATGGGGGGTATCCATGTTTGGGGGGGTGTCCATGTTTGGGGGGTATCTATGTATGGGGGTGTCCATGTTTGGGGGTGTCCCTGTATGGGGGGTATCCATGTTTGGGGGGTGTCCATGTTTGGGGGGTGTCCATGTTTGGGGGGTATCTATGTATGGGGGTGTCCATGTTTGGGGGGTGTCCATGTTTGGGGGTGTCCCTGTGACTGATCTGTCCCTCTTCCCTCCGCAGGGTTCGCAGAGCTCGCAGCTCTTCCTCCTGTGCCAGTTCTCGTTGGGTTGCGGCATGGCGTGTAGCCTGGACTACCTGCAGGAAGGGGCCCCGCACCGCACCTGGAACCTGCTGCTGGCGGCCGGGCTCTCCAGCCTGGTGGTGTGGCAGACGAGGCGGATGTTGCGTCACATTGGGGAGATGTACCGGCTGCACAGCAGCGAGCGTTACTGCGGGGTGTGCCTGACTCTCCTGGCATGCTGGCGGGACGTGCCGCCTTTCCTGTGCCGGGCCCTCAGGGTGGCCTTCCTGGTCTCTGATTTGGCTGCGGTCGCCGTGATCAACCGAGATTTCCTGACCACGTCGGAGGCCGTCCGCTTCTGGACCCCGCTGACCATCTGCTACACCCTGCTGGTCATCTACATGCAAGGTGAGGGCCACAGGGGCCCCCATGGGAGGGGTGCAATGCTCTGCAGACGGGGGGCAGCGGGTATACTGAACTACACCGAGAATTCCGAGGGCATGGGGGGCCACACATTAGTGTGTGAGTATATACGTCTGCTCTGTGTGTGAGTATGTACATCTGCCCTGCACAGGGGTGGACTGACCATTTGGGAGCTCAAGCACTGCCTGAGGGCCCGGGGTCAGTAGGGGGCTCCATGAGATGTCCCCGGTACCTTTCATAGGCTTTTTTTGGGTGTGATTTGAGTGTGGCCGAGGACACAGGGGCCCCATGAGTTGTCAGTCCGCCCCTGGTCCTGTGTGTGAGTATAGTCATCTGCTCTGTGTGTGAGTTGATACATCTGCCCTGCGTGTGAGTATAGACATCTGCCCTGCGTGTGAGTATAGACATCTGCCCTGCATGTGATTATATACATCTGCCCTGCGTGTGAGTATAGACATCTGCCCTGCGTGTGAGTATATACATCTGCTGTGCGTGTGAGTATAGACATCTGCCCTGCGTGTGAGTATATACATCTGCCCTGCATGTGAGTATAGACATCTGCCCTGCGTGTGATTATTGACATCTGCCCTGCGTGTGATTATATACATCTGCCCTGCGTGTGAGTATAGACATCTGCCCTGCGTCGTGTGAGTATAGACATCTGCCCTGCGTGTGATTATAGACATCTGCCCTGCGTGTGAGTATAGACATCTGCCCTGCGTGTGAGTATATACATCTGCTCTGTGTGTGAGTATATACATCTGCCCTGCGTGTGAGTATAGACATCTGCCCTGCGTGTGAGTATATACATCTGCCCTGCGTGTGAGTATATACATCTGCCCTGCGTGTGAGTATATACATCTGCCCTGCGTGTGATTATAGACATCTGCCCTGCGTGTGAGTATATACATCTGCCCTGCGTGTGAGTATATACATCTGCTCTGCGTGTGAGTATATACATCTGCTCTGCGTGTGAGTATAGACATCTGCTCTGTGAGTATATACATCTGCTCTGTGAGTATAGACTCGTGTGATTTTGTGTTTTGCAGAGGAGCAGCACCAGCACCCCACAGAACAGATGGCGTTCCAGACGGTGTTTGTGCGGATGGGGGGTCTCCTGATCCTGATGATGACGGTGGGGGCGATGGGCGGACATTCTACACATCTTCTTGTCTCTGATTGGAGAGATCTGGTGCCTGATGTACGCGGGGATGATGCTGGAGATCTGCAGAGAGAGGAGGTGAGATGATCATGCGGTGCACCCCAATGATCACTGGTCTGCGTGGCTTGCGATCGCTGTAATGCACAGAATGGGGGGGTCAGGAGTAAGTAATGCACAGAATGGGGGGGTCAGGAGTAAGTAATGCAGAGAATGCAGGGGGGTCAGGAGTAAGTAATGCAGAGAATGCAGGGGGGTCAGGAGTAAGTAATGCAGAGAATGCAGGGGGGTCAGGAGTAAATACGCACAGAATGGGGGGGGTCAGGAGTAAGTAATGCAGAGAATGCGGGGGTCAGGAGTAAGTAATGCACAGAATGCGGGGGGTCAGGAGTAAGTTATGCACAGAATGCAGGGGGGTCAGGAGTAAGTAATGCACAGAAATGGGGGGTCAGGAGTAAGTAATGCAGAGAATGCGCGGGTCAGGAGTAAGTAATGCAGAGAGAATGCAGGGGGGTCAGGAGAAAGTAATGCAGAGAATGCGGGGGTCAGGAGAAAGTAATGCAGAGAATGCGGGGGTCAGGAGTAAGTAATGCAGAGAATGCGGGGGTCAGGAGTAAGTAATGCAGAGAATGCGGGGGTCAGGAGTAAGTAATGCAGAGAATGCGGGGGTCAGGAGTAAGTAATGCAGAGAATGCGGGGGTCAGGAGTAAGTAATGCAGAGAATGCGGGGGTCAGGAGTAAGTAATGCAGAGAATGCGGCGGGTCAGGAGTAAGTAATGCAGAGAATGCGGGGGTCAGGAGTAAGTAATGCAGAGAATGGGGGGGTCAGGAGTAAGTAATGCAGAGAATGCGGGGGTCAGGAGTAAGTAATGCAGAGAATGCGGGGGTCAGGAGTAAGTAATGCAGAGAATGCGGGGGTCAGGAGTAAGTAATGCAGAGAATGCGGGGGTCAGGAGTAAGTAATGCAGAGAATGGCGGGGTCAGGAGTAAGTAATGCAGAGAATGGGGGGGTCAGGAGTAAGTAATGCAGAGAATGCAGGGGGGTCAGGAGTAAGTAATGCACAGAATGCGGGGGTCAGGAGTAAGTAATGCACAGAATGCGGGGGGGTCAGGAGTAAGTAATGCAGAGAATGCGGGGGTCAGGAGTAAGTAATGCACAGAATGCGGGGGGTCAGGAGTAAGTAATGCAGAGAATGCGGGGGTCAGGAGTAAGTAATGCACAGAATGGGGGGGTCAGGAGTAAGTAATGGTCAGGAGTAAGTAAAGTAATGCACAGAATGGGGGGGGGTCAGGAGTAAGTAATGCAGACAATGCAGGGGGGGTCAGGAGTAAGTAATGCACAGAATGCGGGGGGGTCAGGAGTAAATAATGCAGAGAAATGCATGCAGAATGGGGGGTCAGGAGTAAGTATCGCACAGAATGCGGGGGTCAGGGAGTAAGTAATGCAGAGAATGCGGGGGTCAGGAGTAAGTATGCAGAAGAATGGGGGGTCAGGAGTAAGTAATGCACAGAATGGGGGGGTCAGGAATGCGGGGGTAAGTAAATGCCGAAGAATGCACAGAGTAATGCAGAGATGCGGGGGTCAGGAGTAATAGATGCAGAGAATGGTCAGGAGTAAGCCCGGGGGGAAGGGCCCCTCCTTCATGGTCAGGCACCATCTGAGCTGACAGTCGGCTGTCATTTTAAAATCTGCCCCTAGCTTTCCTGGCAGCCATTTGTCAAGAGAATGAATGATTGACAACTGTGGAAATCTCAGAGCCAAGAACCATTATAAAAAGCCGAACCCCAGAATTCATTACCCGTCACATATCAGGCCTGCTGCCCATGTGTTCTCATAGCTCCTCCTCCTTTTCTCTTCTCTTTCAGGATTATGGGATGAAGGCGAACAAATCCTAGAAGGGCCCGGGCCCCCGACGATCCCTGAGGACAGAAGCCCACCTGGAGGATAGAGACTGACCCTATGTACTAAGAGAGGACTGTTACATGGCCCACCTGGAGCCGGGATCGCCCCCACATACCATGGCGCAGTATGAGAGGAAGAGACTGAACTGCGAAACCTGGAACTGGCAGAATCTTCGCAGAGCTCATCATGGAGGATCGCCCGCCCCCTTCCACACCCACAATCGCAGAAGGCGGGACTAACCCCCCCCACCCCCGCCTTATCCCCAATGTAATAATAAAAAGCCGACGCCTACCAATCAATGTGGAGATCTCGCTGCCTGGCATAGCGTGGATCTTCGCTCCTTTATCCAAATATCGATCGTTCTCCTTCTGCCTGCCGATCTCCAGACAAAGTGCAGAAAGGATCCCCAGCTATGAATGAGTCCAGTTTTGTATGGTGTGGGGGGGGGGGGGGTTGGAGCCCCTGTCAGGCTGCTAGCGGGGGAGATCTATCCTGACACAAGGGAATAGTGAACAGAAAATCACTACCTGAACCAACTGCTGCAGTTAGCTGTTTGGCCACTAGATGCCGCTCATCATCTGCTCTGAATGCTCCCAGATTAACTCCTTCAGGACCAGCGATCCTACTCTCCAGGAATCTGCCAACCGCGTGACACACATGGGGGCCCAACTGGTGATCTGCCAACCGCGACACACATGGGGGCCCAACTGGTGATCTGCCAACCGCGACACACATGGGGGCCCCAACTGGTGATCTGCCAACCGCGACACACATGGGGGCCCAACTGGTGATCTGCCAACCGTGACACACATGGGGGCCCAACTGGTGATCTGCCAACCGCGACACACATGGGGGGGCCCAACTGGGGATCTGCCAACCGCGACACACATGGGGGCCCAACTGGTGATCTGCCAACTGCGACACACACATGGGGGCTCAACTGGTGATCTGCCAACCCGCGACACACATGGGGGCCCAACTGGTGATCTGCCAACCGTGACACACATGGGGGCCCAACTGGTGATCTGCCAACCGCGACACACATGGGGGCCCAACTGGGGATCTGCCAACCGCGACACACATGGGGGCCCAACTGGGGATCTGCCAACCGCGACACACATGGGGGCCCAACTGGGGATCTGCCAACCCGCGACACACATGGGGGCCCAACTGGGGATCTGCCAACCGTGACACACATGGGGGCCCAACTGGTGATCTGCCCAACCGTGACACACATGGGGGCCCAACTGGTGATCTGCCAACCGCGACACACATGGGGGCCCAACTGGGGATCTGCCAACCGCGACACACATGGGGGCCCAACTGGGGATCTGCCAACCGCGACACACATGGGGGCCCAACTGGTGATCTGCCAACCGCGACACACATGGGGGCCCAACTGGGGATCTGCCAACCGCGACACACATGGGGGCCCAACTGGGGATCTGCCAACCGCGACACACATGGGGGCCCAACTGGTGATCTGCCAACCGCGACACACATGGGGGCCCAACTGGTGATCTGCCAACCGCGACACACATGGGGGCCCAACTGGGGATCTGCCAACCGCGACACACATGGGGGCCCAACTGGGGATCTGCCAACCGTGACACACATGGGGGCCCAACTGGTGATCTGCCAACCGTGACACACATGGGGGCCCAACTGGTGATCTGCCAACCGCGACACACATGGGGGCCCAACTGGTGATCTGCCAACCGCGACACACATGGGGGCCCAACTGGGGATCTGCCAACAGCGACACACATGGGGGCCCAACTGGTGATCTGTTTCCACGTCGCAGTGTCACAAAGGGCTAAATATTATTATTATACGGGATTTATATTAATATAATATAGTGATGGCGCAGAAATCGTTCTATAGCACGTCCACCTTGCAGCACTGGGATCCTGAGTACAAATCAGGCCAGGGCCCTACCTGCATGGAGTTTGCATGTTCTCCCTGTGCCTGTGTGGGTTTCCTCCGGGTACTCTGGTTTCCTCCCACACTCCAAAGACATGCTGGGAGGTAATTGGCTCCTGTCTAAATTGTCCCTAGTATGTGTATGTAAGAATGTGAGTTCGGGAGCTTAGATTGTACGCTCCTCGGGGGCGGGGCCTGATGTGAATGTACATTATCTAAAGTGCTCTGCAAAATATTGGCGCTATATACAGTTAGGTCCATACACACACATATATATATTTATTTATTTCCGGTACTTATATATCGCCGTCAGTTTACTCTGCGCTTTACATATATAGTGTACATTCCCATCAGTCCCCGCCCCCGAGGAGCGTACAATCTAAGGTCCCTAACTCACATTCATACATACACATACTAGGGACAATTTAGACAGGAGCCAATTCAACTCCCAGCATGTCTTCGGAGTGTGGGGAGGAAACCAGAGTTCCCAAAAGAAACCCACGCAGGCACAGGGAGAACATGCAAACTCCAGGCAGGAGGTGCCGTGGTTGGGGTATATATATACACACACGTACAGTTAGGTCCATATATATTTGGACACAGGCTCTGTATGCCACCAAAATGAATTCAAACAAAACATTCCGAACGAATGTGAAGTTCAGACTTTCAGCTTTGATTCCGGGGCTCCAACATAAATATTATTTATTACATATTTTAGGAACTGCAACCATCTGTATACTCCGCCCCCATTGTCAGGGGATGAAATGTGATTGGACGAATGAATAGAATCAGAAATAAAATGTTGATTTGTAATATTTTGGTTGAGAATCCTTTACTGGCAATGACTGCCTGAAGTCTGGAACCCATGGACGTGACCAAAGACTGGGTTTCCTCCTGTATGATGCTTTGCCTGAAGTCTGGAACCCATGGACATGACCAAAGACTGGGTTTCCTCCTTTGTGAGGCTTTGCCTGAAGTCTGGAACCCATGGACATGACCAACAGACTGGGTTTCCTCCTTTGTGAGGCTTTGCCTGAAGTCTGGAACCCATGGACGTGACCAAAGACTGGGTTTCCTCCTTCCTGATGCTTTGCCTGAAGTCTGGAACCCATGGACATGACCAAAGACTGGGTTCCCTCCTTTGTGAGGCTTTGCCTGAAGTCTGGAACCCATGGACGTGACCACAGACTGGGTTTCCTCCTTTGTGAGGCTTTGCCTGAAGTCTGGAACCCATGGACGTGACCAAAGACTGGGTTTCCTCCTT